TTTTTAAAGAGCAGAATTATTAACAAATCTGCTATAAAATGCTTTTTACTGCATTATGCAAGTACTCTATACTGCAAACAAGTACTCTTAGCTGAAATATAAAAGGGGATATAGTGAAACAAAACAAGGAAACAAACATACTAAATGGAGAAATTTCGCTCATATTGTAATAAAAATAGCCTGTATACGCACTTGCCCCGTTTATGAACTTACTCCACTTCACCTTAATATTCCTAATTTATTGTTTAATTTAATCTAGAGTTTTGATAATAAATATTGCGTTCTATATTAATTTTCTCTTGCTACTATAATTATAAGACAAATTAAACTCAACCTAATATAATATAGTTATAATATAACAGTCACATCAATGGCCATACACCTCAAATTCAAAACTGTGATTTGGCAAAATAAATATGAGGCAAAATAATGTTTATAGTATATCAAATTGGCACTTAAAGTTTAATGAAAATACATACACATTCGTAACATACAATCTTTACTTCGTTGAAACAAGCAATACAGCTTAGTATTGTCAATTAGCAAATGTTTAATTCAATTTTTAGTTCTCAAGTAGTAATTTAATTCATAATATCATTTTGTGGTTATATAATTTTTTTTGGAACACTCTGTACATCATATAGAAGTATGAGATGTATCCCGTACTTTTCCGTCACATACGGATATTCTAAAAAAAGAATTGTACACTGGCATGATAGGTTTCCCTAGAGTAAATAACGTTGTTGAAGAAGAAAGCCTCACCACTTGCATGCAAATGTTTACACGAGAAAATTTTACTGCTTGAATGCGAAAATGGCTCGTGCTGACTAAACACAATACGTGATCGTCACTGTACATCCAAAAACGGTATTCGCGACAATAATCGAAAATTCTTTTTTCAGTTTCATGCATAATTAATTAGAATCTGAATATTTATCGCGAGCATTGTTAATCTGTAAGATTAAATTATGACGTAGTGATTTTTATCAAATCTTTAAATTGATATGCGATAAACGCTATTTTACGTCATTACGTGCTATTTCCATCAAGTAATATCAGACTTATTAATATATAATGTGACATAATTAACAAAAATTTATAAAATCATAAATTGAAAATGAAGTTACAAATCATAAGTTAAAACTATGTTTGCGTTACAAAAGTCAATATCTTTTAATCATAATACCTGTCATGTAAAATGTTGAAATAGAACGTTCGTCGCATTTATTTCTTAAATATGAAACATTAAGTATCTGGCCGCCGTTTTACTCGCCATCACTTCATTTGATACTTGTTAAATAGGAAATAATAAAATAAATTATAAATCTGTTGTTACGATGAAATATATAGCTATATACATACACATATATCACACGACTACACGAACACGCGTACACATAATAATATGTACATGTAGGTGGAGGAATTTTAATTGTATGATATCGACAGATTAATTTAAGAACCTTACAAATTGTCCTTAGATCTAAGGTTGGCGCAATTTTTAATTCCTCGAATTCTATTTACCCGTGGTTCCCCATCCCAACTTCTTCCACATGCCTTCATTTCTGTACGTAATCATTTTCATTTATAAAAAGCTGCACCACGAAAAGAAACATGCGAAAAGAAAAATTTCGACGAATGAATTAACAAACATACATACATGTACACATAATAATAATAATAATTTAATTAAAAAAACGAGAAAAATTAATGGAATTATATAACGTATACTGACCAGACCAAGCTCAATATTTCTAGAGTCTTTACAAGATAAATAAATCTGTTAAGTGACAAATGAACTATTAATATAAGAGAGGAAATCTATTTAGAAAACTTGTACATACTAGCCTATAATTTATTTATCTATGAATGAGAGGGAGAGAGAGATATATACGAGCGAATGTCGACGACAAGAAGAGATATAGGAAAGGGAATTGTATATCGTGTGCGTGATAGAGAGAGAAAGAGCGAAAGAACGCCAGAGAGCAAGAGAGAGAAAGAGAGAAGAAAGGAAACGAGAGACAGACAGAGAGATAGAGAGCGAGTGCGAATGAAAGGGACGAAAAGAGTGAAAGAGAATGAGAGACGGAAAATTCAAGAAATGCGTAGATTTCGATGGAATATACAGTGAAGAGCATTTTAGATGCTGATATGTACCTACTACGCGAATGAAAAGAGTATACAATAAAGTAAACAATGTTTTCAAATATCGTATCATTTTTATTTACGCAAACACAATACTTATCTCATAAAATAATAAAATAATGCATATTATTGATATTAATTCATATTAATTTCAAATGAAAAACATTTTAGATGATTTAATGAATTTTAAACGGAAAGTATTTTATTTAAAGTTTTCAAATACTAAGTTGCTCAACTCCAATTATTTATTATAATGTTTCTGTTATCGGCTTTCACTTAAAAAAATTATAAATTATAAATTATTTCCTGCTTAATTAAAAATTATCAGTTGAGTTATATAATAAATACGTTCGATATTATTAAAAATTATTTAAATATCTCGATACAAATATTGCACGGCATACTTTTTGTAATTAAATTCAGCTTAGAGAAAAGAAAAAAAAATTAAGCTTGAAAAAAATATTCTTAATTTCATTTTGTTGAAACCATTAATTAATTTATATTTTTAGACGTTATTTTAAATAAAATTATATATTTATATTTAATGACTACTTATATTAAAAAATAACAAGGTCAATGATATTAAAACAGACGAAGAAAAATTTTATAATTAATCATGTATGAAATTAAAATAGGTTCATAATTTTCGTACTTAATTACGTTTGTTTTTATATTCTCAAAATATTGAAACAATAACACGATATTTTATTTAAAAGGAAAAGCACTTTAAAATAGTTAATTTTGTTACCTACATTTTTAATTAAAAAATATTTTTTTTAATGTTTTTTGTAAATAAAAAATGTTGTTTAAATGAAAAATATTTGTTTAATTAAAAACTTTATCCATTCCATAATGTAATCACAATAATCACCAACATTAAGTAGTATAAATTTAAATATTAAATAATTCTTATTTCAATAGCTATATTTATCATATTTTGCTTTTGAAATCTACCTCTAATTTCGCGCCATTATTAAATAACTCAATCACTGATTAGAAATTAAATAAATACAACTAAACATGAAAAACATTTTTTTCTTTAAAAAAAGAAAAAACTACGCCATTTCAAATTTAATAACAAAAATACAGCTATTTTACAATTATTTTAATATATTTTCAAACGTTTTTAACAAAATAAATGTAAAAGTTCTGTCACTCATTGCAAATGAACATTTTCTGTGTTCAAATCGAGCGCACTCGAAGTTTTCGATATATATCGAAAGCGGTGTACAATCGTTTAGCTATGAAGTAGCTACATAACCTTGCGATCATAATAATAACAAAAGCGTCGCGGCTGAGTTTTGTTATCAAATATTGTGTGTGCTCTAATTCTGTTCCAATAAATGCACTGTTTTGTTGTGATGTGGAAAACGTGATTTAGCGTACAATTTTCAAAGAATGGGCGACATAAGGGCCGGTCTCGAGGAATTGAAACTCGACGGGGCCCTTTTCGCCGATGTTAAATACTACGTCAGCGGCGAAGGTGATCCCAAGGTATGTCACTTTATCGTTTCCCGCGTTTTTCTTTTGCCGCTAATATAATGTCATTAATTTCATAATTGATCTTACTGTAATACGACTATTGGAAATTATAACTCGCTTACGATTATTTTAAATTAATAGCGATACGCGTGGAAGAGGTTATAAAATGGAGTCAAATTTAACAGACTGTAGCTACTGTATAAAGATGATATAAAAGATTTGAAAAATTTAAATTATATAATTTATTTTAGAGGAAATTGTATATCTGCATAATTTACAGATTAAAATTTAATATTATTTGCACTAATTATTCATTTTTTTTAAATAATAGAATTTAGATTTAATAATTATTTAATAGTATTGAATGAAATAAATAATTGCTTCGTATATTATAATTCTGTACATATATATGTCCCTTTGAGATCTTAATCACATGTTAATGCATGCTCGTAATTCCTCGACAAAAAACATAACTCGACCAAGGATGTTTTTAATTGTTTGCAGATTTTAAATTTACTACAAGAAGGAGGTGCAGAAAGATCAAATTATTTTAGTGATTTTGTTACACATTTAATAGCAGGCTATGATGCGTTGGAAAATGATATATCTGCTGCAAAGGATATCTATGAAATACCAGCAGTTACGCAGAATTGGATTTTATATTCTGTCAAATGTAACAAACTTTTGCCGTATCCTAATCTATACTACTTTTAATTTATCAATAACATTTTTTTCGTTATATAACCAAGTTATTTGTATAATAAATCATTAATGTTTTTTAATTCTAAGAAAATATTAAGCTTTCATATTATTACCATTTTCATAATATAAACCAATTAATTTCCTTAGCAGTATTATTAATATAGACCACACTATTTTTCACCTGAAGATACACAATTATTTTCAAATGTACGAGCATGCATATCTCAGATAAGTCGTGCAGACAGTAAGAGTCTATGGGCGATGATCACTTTGCAAGGTGGTAAATGTCAATTACGTTTAGATCGGTATTGTACACATTTAATTACTGGGAAGGCAACTGGATTGAAATATGAAACTGCGATAAGGCATCCGATTCAAATTGTAACGCCAGATTGGGTAACAGAATGCTGTAGAAAAGGAACGATTGTAAATGAAGTAGAATACCACCCAAGACTTTTAATATACCCGAATAGTTCTACAGCTCTTATTACTGGTTTTATGGATGAAGATACAGAAAATAGTGCAGCGCAAGAAGAACAAGATAGAACTAAAGCCATGTTGGAACAACTTAAACAACGTATGCCATGGAATCAACCAGTTTCAAGTCCACCTGTTTCTTCCAATACTGCACATAATTTGAATGCTGCTAATGCACCGGTAACGACGATTCCTTATCCAACTAATGGTCCCAATAATGTTAATAACCAACAACAGCAACAACATCTTCTACGACCAATTGCTACGACAAGTTTGTCCAATGCTTCTACAGTTGCATCTTCTGTATCGGATCAAAATGTTAATCAAACAAATTGGATACCACAAGGCTCCCAACAAAATAATGTTGCTCAAATAAAATCTGTGCCGCCACAGCTGCAACAACAACAGCAACAACCACAACCACAACAAGAGTTATCTCCTCAACAGCAACCACAACAGCAACAAATGAATGTACAACATTCACTATTACAACAACAACAATTGAATCAACAGCAGCAACAACAGTTATCACAGCAACTTACACAACATCAACAATTACAACAACAAACATACACTCAACAACAGCTTTTAAATCAACAACCATCTCCACAACTAGCATCTCAACAACTCATAAATACACAACAACAACCACTCACACAGCAATCATTAATACCACAACAACCACAGATAAACTCACAAATACCTCAACATCAAATATCATCACCTCAACAGTTACTAACCCAACAAAAACAATTAAATCAACATCAAATACTTTCACAACAACAAATAAGTCAACAACATTTATCACAACAACAACAAATCACTCCACAGCAACAATTAGTTCAACAACAAGTGCAATTAACGCCACAGCAGCAGCAACAGATAGTTTTGCAGCAACAACAACTTCCTGCACAGCAACAGATTGGAGCACAACCACATCAGTTAAATCAACCACAAGCTCCGCCGCAGCAGCTTACATCCGAACAGCGGCAGCTCATATTACTACAACAACAACAACAGCAGCAACAGAAAATACAACAAATTTCACAGCAGCTGCAACAATCTGCACCTCAGGGTTCACAACAATTCGTTATAAGAGACGGTCAGTTACAGCAACAGCCTCAAAATCAGCAACTAATGGGACCGAATCAACAAGGTTTTATCGTACAAAGAGATTCTCAGTGGCAGCAACAACAATATCATTTACAATTGCAACGACAACAGCAACAGCAAATAGGACCACAAAGACCTAGCGGACAATGGACACAGCAGCCGCCACAACCGCCAAGGCAGTTGATTCAACTGGACGCTCAAACCCACCAACAACTGCAGCAGATGGATCCTCAACAAAGAGCTCAGTTTATTCAAAAGATTCAGAAACAAAGAAACTTGTTGCTGCAGAGACAGATGCAGAATCGCCAAGCGCAACCAGGAGCACATATCGCTGTTATAAGGAGTCCGGGTAAACCCGTGCAACCCGGTGGTTTGCAGTGGGTTCAGCAACCACGATCGCAAATGATAGGACCACAAATTGCTCAAACACCTGGCCAAAAACCGGTACACCCAGTGGTTCAACCACCAGCTTTGACGCCGATCAACTCTTCTAACCAAGTAATTGTGCAAACCGGACAAAACGTGCAGGGTCCACAGGCGGGTCAACCCGCCCAGGCGTTTCAGCAAGCTCAGCCTTTAACTCCTCAACACATAGCGCAATTACATATGCAGAAGCAGCAACAGATCAGGTTGCAGCAGTTACAGCATCTACAGCAACAACAACAGCAGCAGCAGCAGCAGCAACAACAACAGCAACAAGGCGCACAGCCAGAACCACCTTTGACTTCATTGCCGAACAACGCTCAGATACCGCCAGATCAGCAGTTGGTTGTTAACGCAAAAACGAAAACTGCCTTAGCGAATATGCTGACGAACAGATTGCAAGGTAGCGCAGCCGAAGGTAGTGCAGCTGGTCAGTTAAGATTAATGACCGCTCAACACAGACCACCACCTCCACCGTGCCAGGATCCTCAACTTCTTGCCGCCTATCAACGGAGAACTGTGGGGAACATCGCAAACGGGGCACCACCAGGAGCTCCGATAAAGATGCAGTACGCTCCTGTTATGCCTCAAGCTAAGGCTCAGTTCTATGGCCACAATCCAAATCTAAAACGTACGCTTTTATACAGTTCAAAGCTGTTACTTAAATATTTACCCCCTCTCTGCACCTCAGTCTTTCAGAACATAGAACTTCTAGAAATGTGTTATCACAAATGTTGACTTGAATGAAACTTTATAGTTAGACGTTCAAAAAGTTAGGACAAGATTATCCACATAGAGCTGAAGTATTTAAGAGAGATCGTATTTTGTCTTCTGTCTTATGGAATACTTGTAATTGTACTAGTCAGGACTGTAATTTATAAAGGCTTAACTATATTTGACGGTTTGAACTAACTATTAAAAACGAGCCATATTTTTTACGTACAAGTTTCATTAAAATTAGTGCAAAGTACTTTGACCGGTCCCCTTGATTAAACTTTTGGACGATCTTAAAAAATATGTTATAGGTGAAGCGTCCTATAGAATACTCGAATGAAAGAAACTAATCTTTCACGAATAATGGGACGCGTTATTTGTGTTTACAGTGCCACCAGATCTGTTTTTGCTAGGTTGTATCTTTGTTATCGTCGAATACGACGTGCAACGTCCAAACGACGTGTCCGTTTGGAAGCAAGTGATCGAGAGACATGGCGGAGAAGTGGAGCCTCAATATTGCACGCGGGCTACCCACGTGCTCGCGATCACGCAGAAACATCCAACCGTAGTGCAGGCATTACGTGAAGGGAAACGTTGTGTCAGCGCACACTGGCTGTCAGATGTTGTCAATAAACAGCAGGTACTACCACCTTGGCACGCGCTGCATTTTCCAACGCCATTCAGCTTGACAGAGCTTCCGTGCGCGAAACAAATTGTATCGTTGTCTGGATTTGAAGGGGAGGAACGCGCGAAAGTGAAGTACATGCTGGAAGCGCTGGGAGCTAAGGTTACCAATTACTTCACCAGGCACAATACGCTCCTCGTTGGCGCACAGCCAGAACCACCTTTGACTTCATTGCCGAACAACGCTCAGATACCGCCAGATCAGCAGTTGGTTGTTAACGCAAAAACGAAAACTGCCTTAGCGAATATGCTGACGAACAGATTGCAAGGTAGCGCAGCCGAAGGTAGTGCAGCTGGTCAGTTAAGATTAATGACCGCTCAACACAGACCACCACCTCCACCGTGCCAGGATCCTCAACTTCTTGCCGCCTATCAACGGAGAACTGTGGGGAACATCGCAAACGGGGCACCACCAGGAGCTCCGATAAAGATGCAGTACGCTCCTGTTATGCCTCAAGCTAAGGCTCAGTTCTATGGCCACAATCCAAATCTAAAACGTACGCTTTTATACAGTTCAAAGCTGTTACTTAAATATTTACCCCCTCTCTGCACCTCAGTCTTTCAGAACATAGAACTTCTAGAAATGTGTTATCACAAATGTTGACTTGAATGAAACTTTATAGTTAGACGTTCAAAAAGTTAGGACAAGATTATCCACATAGAGCTGAAGTATTTAAGAGAGATCGTATTTTGTCTTCTGTCTTATGGAATACTTGTAATTGTACTAGTCAGGACTGTAATTTATAAAGGCTTAACTATATTTGACGGTTTGAACTAACTATTAAAAACGAGCCATATTTTTTACGTACAAGTTTCATTAAAATTAGTGCAAAGTACTTTGACCGGTCCCCTTGATTAAACTTTTGGACGATCTTAAAAAATATGTTATAGGTGAAGCGTCCTATAGAATACTCGAATGAAAGAAACTAATCTTTCACGAATAATGGGACGCGTTATTTGTGTTTACAGTGCCACCAGATCTGTTTTTGCTAGGTTGTATCTTTGTTATCGTCGAATACGACGTGCAACGTCCAAACGACGTGTCCGTTTGGAAGCAAGTGATCGAGAGACATGGCGGAGAAGTGGAGCCTCAATATTGCACGCGGGCTACCCACGTGCTCGCGATCACGCAGAAACATCCAACCGTAGTGCAGGCATTACGTGAAGGGAAACGTTGTGTCAGCGCACACTGGCTGTCAGATGTTGTCAATAAACAGCAGGTACTACCACCTTGGCACGCGCTGCATTTTCCAACGCCATTCAGCTTGACAGAGCTTCCGTGCGCGAAACAAATTGTATCGTTGTCTGGATTTGAAGGGGAGGAACGCGCGAAAGTGAAGTACATGCTGGAAGCGCTGGGAGCTAAGGTTACCAATTACTTCACCAGGCACAATACGCTCCTCGTTTGCAGAAGGTAGAGACGTTAGTTATGACCATGTTTTTATTTTTTTCGTTTCCGTTTACGTAACACGTTCCATATTGTACGCTGAGTTTTCAGGGAAAAAGATAATCTTGAGAGGTAGACGATGCTAAACTGGCAAGAAGAATTCTTCATTTTTCAAATTTCAGTACAAAATGTCACATTGAGTGTTTTAACATTGCACCTTTGTACTATTTTGTGCAAAATACTCTAAAGAAGTGATTTGTACAAAATAAAATATGTGACTCTATTTAAAAAAAGTCGAGATAGCCATAGTTTCGCTATCGAAACAAAGTATTTTCAAACTTATTATCGCTATTTATTATACACTCCATACCGATAAATATTAGTTCGTAACATTTCTTATCACATGGCCTTAAATAATTGGAAAATTGTGAACGTTACACGAAACACATGTACATTTTACTGTTTTCAGTTGGTTTCATTTATTTGTCTTCATTCCAATCAATTTCATAAAATCAGGGGATTAATATTATATTACTTTATTATAATATTAAATAACAAATTTAATTTTTTTAGTATACATAAATTTGCAAGTTCAAAAGCAGTTATGTTGAATTGCTTTGAAACTTTCAAAACATGAAATTTTTGTTTTTAATAATTTTTATTTTGAAATTGAAGAAATGTAGATTTTTGATTGACCTGGCCGTGCCTGGATTAAAAATATACGCTGATTAATTTAGTGTATAGTTTTCCTCAATTCACACAATTTGGAACGTGTTAATTCATTGTCTCATTAATTATTAACCGCCATCCACTAATTTGATGATAAACATTTCAGACCAGACGGTCAAAAATACAAAAAGGCTCGAGAATGGCAAACTGGAGTTGTGAACGCTCAGTGGTTGACGGATTTGTTGTGCGGGCAAATGAACGCGCTACATCAAACCGAAAATCCAAAATACCAGCAGTACAGTTTGAGCAATCCTTTCAGATTGGATTATTCGCTAGTACCTCTTTTAATGGGTATAACATATTTTATTAAATTATATTATCAAACAAAAATTTCAATTTTTCTTTGGTCTTGTCTCTACGGTTTTAAATTCATTGACTGGACTGTTAAATCGTATTTCTCTTTTAGGTGCATGGAAAATGCCAATAAATATTACTCAGGAATCATACGATAAAGTAAAACAGGTTGGTCAGGGTCCAAATTCGATACGAAAATACAAGAAGCCACGGTTAGATGTCCCGTTGCTGAATAAAGATCCACATTTATTGGGCTTAGATGAACCAATTGTTGTGAGCAATCCTGATCCACCGGCTCCAGATAAACAACCGAGAATATTATTCTCTGGTATTAATCCTAGGAAGCATGCGAAGGTAACTCATACGTTCACTGTGCTGGTATATAGTAATATATGTGAACTCGCAAACCTGGGTTTTGGGTAAACGTCCAAGAATATATTGAATTGGCAAACTCACGTGTTTTACTTTGATTGAAAATGATTACTCGTTGAACTGTAATAAATACTCCGTAGAAGAAAGACCTGAAGGCCACAGATGTAGTTGCCAAATCTAATAATATACTTGGTTGGATTGCAAACTATTCCCAAAACCATTGAATACCAAAATCGTTTATTAGAGGAAATGAAGTATTGACGTTTCTTTATTTTTAATGATAGTTTAAACATATTTAAATATTCACGATATATTATTAAAGACTGATACTTGATATAATATAGGTGTATGCAAGAAAGTGATTTATGACCACTGCAGGTGTAAAATGGTTTACAGAATCATAATCAATACATGAAACATATGAAGCGCGTAGTTAAAATTGCCAAGAAAATTAAAAATTTGTTTAACACTTTGATTTAAGAACTTGTTCAGTTTTTGAACATAAAATTTTTGTTACACTATAATTCATAAAACAACGTAATAAAAACGATTAATACGATTTAATAACATGGTTCGTTCATTTAACAGAGAATTCGGGAGTTAGGTGGTGCGCTGGCAGCCAGTTGGAGAGATGCAACTCATCTCGTGATGTCAACACCTTTGAGAACTGTAAAGTTATTGTGTTGTCTATCACGTTGTAAATATATTGTCACGTTACAGTGGTTATTAGATTGTTCCGCAAGGAACACGTTTTTAGATGAAAGCGGTTACACGCTTGGAAATCCAGAATTCGAAAAGAATTTTGCTTGTAATATTGAAAAGGCTCTGGCGAGCCCCAATCGAGGAACAGTACTTAAGGTGATTTTTCATCGTTATCTTAAGTAATTATTTAGTTTAATCCTTTGCAAACGGAACTGTTTGATACCTGAACATCTGCTTCGATGAGAGGTTTTGGAAGCACGTAATGACGAAGTGATATACAGGGGATACTTGAAATTTTTGTCATATTTTGTTTCAAAAAGCTTAATAAAAATATTTATTAATGATATTTCACGGCCTAGTATGTTGCATTGTAAAATACTTTTTGGAACAATCGCTCATACATAGTCCTGATTTATTTGACAAGGGTCATAATATTTTGTCTTTTATTATGTCCCTTTAACATACCAAGCAATGATACGTAAAAGATTATTTTACCTTTATGCGATAAATATTTATAATTGGTACACATTGTATCATGAAAATCGCCGATAAGTTTATCACTCTATTAACTTATAAACGTGCTATGTGATATTAACTTTGTGAAACACAACATAATTAATCCAGGAAAAACCACTGTGTGTTTATGCATGATAAGAAATGTTTTAATAATTTTATACAGACATGCATTTGCAAAGGGTTAATCTATTTATTAGAAATAAATGTTGACGAAATACAAATACGGTACTGGCAGTATTTACTACATCACTCCTGAACTTACATATTTACATAACATAGATAAATTCCATAACAATATCATTGATACAATGATTTGTATTAAATTTATTTTGATCAAAATAGTGAACTACACATTTTTCTAATATGTATATATGCTTTAATTTTGGAGGAAATGTATAACTATATGTTTATAATAAAATGTAACAAGAATACTGCTATACTTCACCATGAATTTGAATTATGCCATGTTACAGTCAATAACTAATAATAATATAATTATATTTTATATTTTTCTGACAGCCCTGCAAAACATGAATTTTTGAAGTATACACATCTATTGAAATTTCTTAAAATCATGTTCTATGAATAAAAACTTCGATAATATTTACTTGGTACTAATAATAGGAAAGTTATTAATGATAACACGTTTAATAATTAAGTGATGCAATAAATATTTCAAGTACTGTAAACATTAAACGCTATTAATTTAATATCTTATCTACCAGATACTTGTTAATAGACTTTTGGATATCAATAATTACTGTCTAAAAATAATTGAATTGATCTATAATCATTAATGATTACTGTGTAAGTCAATTTAATTCATTACTATCGTTTTATGAAGCGATGATACTACTGGTCTGCAAGCGGTAGGTAAGGTGTTAAAAATTCAATATTATTTAATTAATAAATTTTATTCATCGAATAGGGTAAAATATTTTATGTTACACCAAGTGTAATACCTTCGCCACCAGCGATGGCAGAAATAATCGAAAGTGCGGGTGGAACGATGGAAAAAACGCGAAGATCTATTGCACAGATCCAAGAGTTGAATAGTAATAAACTAACTTATGTCATCGTCACTCATGAAACCGATCTTCATCTTTTATCCGACGTTTTACGTGCAAATATCAGTAAGTAGTTTCTTCTAAATATCCCAATTGACATTTCAAACGCTGAAACAGAACAAAAATGAGGTAAACTGTACTAATTTTAGCATTAACTGACACACTTATTTTTAGTAATGATTTACAACTGTTACTATATTTAGTATTATTTTTCCAAATGTGTATTTATTTTTAAATAATATCATGTTTTTTATATTAATTTCAGACTTTCTTAGATTTCTACATAATTATTTTATATCAATTGGTACACTGATTGTGAGTTTCAATCACTATTTCAAATGTGCTAATTTTACTATTATATTTTATTACTTTTTCAGTATATTCCATGATTAAAAATCTTTAATTATAATTGTTTCTTTTTGTCCTTCTATTTGTATAAATCAATTTTAATGTGACATAAAAACTCAATGAATAAATTTGCCCATTTGAAGTTAAGTTTTAGGTTAAGATGCTAATCGTTGTACAGTTTACCCTATACAAAAAGTCAGTTTATATGCATTTGTCTCTCATGTTTACAATATTTATAGGTGTGTTCAGTGCAGAAATCGTATTAGGAGCAGTTGCACGACAATACTTCCAAGCAGAACAAATCTAAACAGAGAGCAGTTTCCAAAATACTGCATTTTAATTCCTGATACGAGCTTACTAAATTCTTAGTGAGCTATTTTGGAGATGAAAATTTTTGCTTACCTTCTTCAATGGGACAATAAAGAGCATAATTTTATGATACAGGAGGAGATATTTTCACTGATAACATTCCATACCTGTCCTTTCATAATTCATTTTTCAACATAACATATTTTATAACTGCTTAAAATTAGACAATTTAGTAAGATTGCTTTTTAACGTATAAATATATTCTTATCGATCATTATTATTAAGATATGTTATTTTAGCATTTTGTAATTATTTTTTCCACGATACTGTCTCTCTTTAATCGAATATACTTCCCATCTTTTATCGCATATATAATATACACATATCATTCTAGTTTGTATTGTTGTACACTTATTTTCTTCCATTTTATATGTTCCGCTTACACTTTAGAAAATGATTTATGTGTAAGAGTGTATAATTGCAAATAAACAGAAATACGTATCATTGTGTTCTCTTACTAATCGCGATGCGCCATTATTCGTAACATCATCAAGATCATTTGTAAGGATATTTGTACAGCTCGTGAATTGTATAAATATAGTTTATTCATACTTAACAGGACTACTTTATTGTACAATAAATCGGACGAACGTAAGAAAAAGTACAAACGTTTATTATAAACAATTTTATATCGATCTTAAAGTAAGTGACAAAGTGTTCCCTACAGAATTCTATCTAAAACTATGTACAATATTATTGAAAGATGTGCGAGAAAAAAATAAAGAAATATACAATATAATTATTAAAATAGAGAAAAAACGTTTTGATAGAGTTATGTGTTAAATTTATTTTACAAAATGTAATGAATGAAAACTATGTCAATAATAAATAGTACGCATGCGAATAAAATATAGCGCTATTAAATTACATCACGCACCATTATTCTTACAGATAAATAAAACTTTTGTACATATAATCGATCACCGATATAAATACTGATACGGAGAGCATTACACAAGCGATTAATCAAACGCAGTTAAAAAATAATTAAGACAAGAATATTTAATATTACCGGAAGACTTACTGTAAGCGCTCTGATCTTTCCATTTACTCGTAATATAACAAAGATGTAAAATATTTTAAGACGAGGGTACACAAAGTGATACAAATATCTTTGATCAATCTTACAAATCGTACAAATTATCTTACAAGTTAAAGTCTATCCTGGGTTCTGGTGTCATTAAAATAATTTATACAAGAAAGCTGATCGACTAGCATATTTATTGTTACAGATCAGTAATCACGCAATAATCTACGTGGAGATCTGCTCTTTTATCCAGTCTAAGTGTTTGGCGACGTCCACGTAGACGACGTATTGCTTTAGATCGCAGGACATTGTACTGCCGTCCAAAAGTGATCTCGAGACGACTCCGCGAAGAAAATAACGATCCTTGTTGTTATCATACATCACAAAACCACTTCCGCTGTCTCCATTGCAAGGACCACTTCCGTTTCTTAAACCAGCACAGAACGTTCGGTTTGAGGTAAATGAAACAAAATCTGTGTTGCTCCAAAGACAAACTTCCTGTAATATTTGAAAAAATGATTATTTGCTATTGTCTACTTTGAAGGTGCGAAAACACCTTAAATTTGGAATTATATGTATATCATATTTTATAAAATATTTGAGAGACTATTTATTTTTTTATGATAAATTTGTTCATACGTGAATGCTTATATCTTTGCAGTACATAAGCAAGTTTGTAACAGATAATTTGTTAAAAAAATAACATGATTTCAAAAATATATATAAATGTATTATTAATACAATATTTCCCACCATTTGCAAGCTGCTATTTTAAATTATAAGTATTTCGAGGTAGAATTAACTCTTCATATCGGGTTATAGTAAAGCCTTGATATAAGTGACAGAATTATCCCCATCATTAGGAAGAAAGTAACACTAATGTGAGTCTAAAATATTTTTTTGAATTCTTATTTAATTATTTAATTATTATTAAATTTTTACCGATAGATTTTTAACAGTTTTCTGTTTCGTGTCCAAACTTATATCATGGTTTTACTATAAAGTGTAAACAATGTACATAAAGCTTGTAGAAGCTAACTTTACCTGAGATACTATCGGTGCCTTTGTCTGTCGAGGTTCTTGAACATATGGATTCCCAAATTCATCGCGTCCCCAACCCACCACGTATCCAGCCTTGCCAACAACGTTCTCCAGATTGATAGATCCGGACCAAAGACAAATCGGTTTAATCGCCACGCTGTATTCCACGCTTTCTCGCAGAATCAGCACGGCCAGGTCAGCATCCGCGTTGCCACTCGGATTAAAATCAGGATGAAGTTTATATTCGGCCACTTCTCGGTTTACTGAACCCTGTTCTCTCCAGTCCCGAAGTCGATAACGACCCAAGGTCACCAACAAGGTGCCCACAGGTAGGTTCATGTCATTTAATTGAAAGCAGTGTGCGGCTGAAAAATGAAAGGATAAAGTTAAAAACGTCGGTAGAAGGACTTTAACCTTCAAGATCATGGTCACTTAACATTGGAACGTTCTATCTATAAAATATCTGTATTCTTAAGTAGATATTGACTTTTTTACTACCTGAGAAACGAAGGTTACCGAATTAATCGACTAATTCAGTTCGGATATATTTCTTTTCTATTTTTAATAAAATACAACTTTCAAGACGGTTTTCAGAGTAAACAATTTTTTAGGTTCTTCCACAAATGTTAACGGATATAATGAAACAAAATCTGCATTGCTCCAAACACATCTATTAAAATTATGCAATTCTTATTATACACGATGTCCCAGTTTTGATAATGCAAGGATTAAGATGATTTTATGTACAAAAATGAGTTTAACGTGTAAAATAAAATTTGTTCAGTTACGATTTCATTTGCTAGAAAATTAAATTTGGAAGCTTTATAAAGTTTTTGTAAGAAAATCCTTTTACGATAATAAAAATAAAGCACTGTTTCAAGATAATAATACAAAAAATTAAACAGTTATAATTAAGCAGTTATTCAGTGTATAAGTTAGAAACTTATGATTAGTAAGCTACTATTAATTAATTTGACCTACCAGTGATGATATGCTTATTGGAGACCAATGAACCCGCGCATTGGAATTCAAAGTCGTATTTAACAATAAAAATTGCAGCCAGCCAGGGCCACTGTCCAGGGGATGTTTTTATACCTCCAGCAACTAAAGGGTTAATTTTGTTCGTGTTATTGGGACGTCCACATTCTAAGTTGTTAGAATCCTTGTTGGGAGGTGGTCTGGGTGTATCAGTTAACACTGTGTTCACTCTGTTCGGTGGTGAAAAAGGTTCGAGAAATGTCGGTGCAGGTGTAACAGGTTCCGCAGGCTGTACAGGCTGCATAGGTTGTACAGGCTGTACAGGCTGAGTCTCTGTCTTAGGGTAATTTGGAATCACATTCCCTTGGTCCTCGGAAAGAGGCAGCACCCCTGGTGGATACAGTGTGTGGTTCAAAACGATTGTTGTTACGATTGGCCCGGTTGCTGAAACAGTAAAATATAGCAATTTTGAAAAATAGCACTACAGTATAGTATAGAGCTATACTTTTGTCTTTAAGAGTCAACTCTGGTGACACTGAGTATGATTCTTAATGACTTTGACGGAAAATTAATAACCGATCTATATTTATATTTTAGTCAGGAGGGACGAAGACAGTAAATTTGGTTTTAAAAAGTGTACATATATGCGACTTCGTTTTGCAAGCATTTTAAAACTATACATGGTTTTACATACTTGGTGAACAAAACATATATTGTCATGAGTTCTTTTTCAAAATATTCTTTGTATAATTTTGAATAATCTCTGTGTAATCGTGAACAAATTGCTTTATAAATACTTGAACTCTGTACAAACTAAGATTTTTCGTAATTGAAGCTCCATGTGAACAAATTTTATTCTTGGTTTACTTCACGTAGATTTTTCTCTTTTTCAATTGGGATACAAGAGTGGAAACATCCTGTATAACTACTGCTATCTCTGCCGCAGTAAACGACGTGTTTAGCAGCAACAAAAATTTGAAATGATGAATATTGAAGATAACATATATTCAGGATACTGATATTAACGATGCGAAAGGATATTAAGGATATCAACGATGCGAAAGGATATTAAAGATATTAACGATACGGAGAAATATTAAGAATATTACTATACGAAATAATACTACGGATATTAACGATACGAAAAGATACTAAGGATAACGATATGAAAGGATATTAAAAATATCAATGATATGAAATAATACTAAAGATATTAACGACGTGGGAGGATACTAAGGACACGAGATATTAAGTACACGAAAAATATTGTAGAAGTCATAGGTAAAATTTTGGAAACCCGTGAAATTGAAACTAGGGGATGTCTAAATTTTGAAAAACTAACTAGCAAAAACGCTCATCAATGAGCTGTCAATTTTGATTCTACATTTCAATCAAGAAAAAGTGTCAGAACAATTCGTTTTCAAAACTATAGTCAAATATCTCAGACAGAGATTTGCAGGCTTTATTAAAATGAAAAATTTATTTTAAAAAATTCGTTTCGTTTAAAATTAGACTCTTTTTATTCAATAAAGTTGTTGATGTTACTTTTTTTTAAATAAAACTTGTTTGTTCTTCTTCTTCTTCATAGCTGTTTAACATTTTATGAAATAAATCATAATTGCGCGTTTAATTCCTTCGTTTGGTTTCTGATTTACTGCAATATTGAGGCTACTGATATAATTTCTGTAACATTGTTCGCAGCGACGAACAGTAAGGTTCTATAGTAAACTGTACATACCACGTTGACCGGAACATATCAACTGGTTATTGAACCATAACCCAGTTAAGACAGGAATCGGTCGTCGAAGAGGAAAACGGATTTTATACGTCAGGGGCCAGCCCTGCCTCACTGCTTTCAGCGATTGTTCTCTCGATTGTGCTAATTCGAGTCGACCAACATATTTCTGGAACATAATAACGTTGCATTGATTTATTAATCAGTTTACATTCTACGTATGTGCACGTTAATCTGGAACTTCATTTCGATACGGTTGATGTTAATTTTTTATTTTGCGTGTGTCCTATGTGAATGAAAGAACATATACCTTTCGTACATGTGATTTGTACATGTGATGAACAAAGCCGGTGACAATAGCGAAGATGAAAGATAGGTTAGCACAATGGTTTGAATAATCTAGCTTTAAATAATTGGTGTTCTGTAGCTTCTGACCTTGCATAAATGATATATTCATATCCCTCACTTATGTTATACTCATTAATTATTTTGAGATTACTTGACGTAAGTTAAAAAAGACGTAAATCGGAGCGAACATTCATGTAATTGTAAAATTACCAAGTTAACTATGTTTTCAAATGCTCGAATGTGTAAATTTTTAGGCTTTTAAGTTCTCAAATCCACAGATCTACAAATTTTTAAATGATAATGAAAGTTTTTAAGTTTATGATCTCTCAAAATACCAAATCGTACAAATAATAACAGCAAAAGATACACTAAAAATTATATAAACATGACAAACAAATATAATGTTCTTGAAAACAAAATTTTGTATGAAAATTGTTTATTCCAAGTATATTGCTAACTTTCGCATCGAGGATAACATATATCGACAGCCATATTTCTCTCGGTGATATATCTTTTCTAAACGAGGAAACTAAATGCTCATCCATAAAAAAGACATTGTTGCAAGTTTGACGTAACCCTTAATTTCACAAGAGAATCTGGTATTACCCGCGTTCTGAGAAAACACAAAAGTAATGATTACAATTCTACTGGGTTTTCAATAACAGATACCTTATCTGTTGCATTTTGCGGTGACACACTTCTCGTAACTAAGCGTTCATGAAATTCTCTGCATTCACATACTGACAAATTTTCTGGAAACCAATTACCAATGATCGAACAACAATAAATTTTACTTTGTTTAATAGAGAAACGTGCTATCGTTAAATCTCTGTTCCACCCATTTTCAGCGAACTACCATCTTGATGTCAGACTTAAAATTAAAACGATGATTTAATTTAAAAATTAAAGCGATGATTTAATTTTAAATCTGATGATGAAAGACAGCAAAGAAATGGAGACTGATGTTTATTTTAGAGTTATTATACGTTTGGTAAAGTAAGAAGTAATTTTCATGAAAGAGGTGCCATTTACCGAGGGCAATGCAACAGCGATGCTTAAACTGACGCTTATGTGCAAAGCGACTCCTTTTGGGGGCGATGGTATCTCGATGAAACCAGTCACTTCATTCGTGAAATCGTCCTGGATATACCGGAAATAGTTGGGACACGGCGATTGACCGGCTACTTGGACGATCAGCTGCAGGAAGTGCATCAACAGCGCCACCTGGACGATCATGCTAATCATCCTGGTACCCTGCAACATGAATTTGCAACTTCTAAATGAACTTTTAAGGACTGACTTGCATGATTTCAATGGTGATTACTGGTTGCACGATTTGGTCAGGTATAACGAATTATTGTATGGAGCATTGAGTGCCACGTCAGACGTCGGTAACTGACACTGGACTTTCCGTTCAGACTGCATCACATACTGGAGACTGACAGTGTAAAATATAATATAAAAAGTTGTTTCAATTACATTAAATTTACTTTACATTTATTTAATTCAGTTTTTTTCTTTTTTTTTTAATCTAGGTTTTCCTACGCTTTGTTTGGCTGTATACTGTGGTACATATTGATGTTTTTCAGGTATTTTAGGGTATTTTCTGTGTGCTTTATTTATTGCAGAATTGTATTATTAACGTATTTAAATATTTTTTTTCATTATTTTACGTGGTCTGAGGATTTCCTTGTAAATTCGTGTGGCAATCAACTGATATATTAAATTATTTACGAATTTTGTTATTATATGTTAGTTTAGGGAAATTGTACATTTGTCAATAATTTTTAGACGTTTTTCAACCATTTTCTGGGAAAAAATATGCAAATGTTTCGTTGTGATACAATGAAGACATAGTAGTGAAATTTGTACTTATGTGTCATTCTTTTTATTATCGAGTATTAATATTCTGGGATGATCTACTTTTTCAAATTTTGGAAACTAATATTAGAATACTTGATATTTACATCTGGTATGATTATTGATTGATTTGCACAAATTGCACTTTGGTTGAAAATAAATATATTACTCCTCTTTAGTGAATTTCAATTGTGAGTGTATTGTAGGGATTTGTAAGTCAACGTTTTGAAACATTGATTTGATATAATTATACAAATAATTATTGCGACTGCAAATCCTAATTTTGCAGAATTATAACATGTGCTGAAATAAGAGAATTCGCGTCAAGTATGACGTAATTTCTATTTAACAAATCAAGAATTTGAAAATTACAAAATTTGGAAATTTTACAAAATGAAAATTTTTCAATTTAACAACTTAAGAATTACAAATAAGGGAATTCGTGTCAAATGTTACTTAATTCCTATTTAACAAATCAGGAATTTGAAAACTGCAAGATTTAGAAATTTTACAAAATTTAAATTTAAAAATTTAGCAACTTAGGAATTTAAAATTTTTACAATTTAGTAACTCATAATTTCTATATTTTACTGCTTATAAATTTGAAAAGTTTGCAATTTGAAAGTGTAGGATTTTATGAATTTCATAATATATAAATATACAAATTTGAGAATATTACAATGTGAAAACAAGAAATATTTTATTCCTAAATTTCTAAATTTTTTTATTGAAATTCTAAAAATTTAAGAATTCGTTAGTTACTAACATTGAATATTTGAAAATTTACTATTTTAAAGAATTAAGAATTTGGAAACCTAATGACGTGGCAACTAACAGTTTCAGAATTTAAGGATTTCGAAACTGGAAATTTACAACTTTCATGATATCATAATTTGAAAATTTGATAAATTAAAAATTTTTAATTTTCTAATTCCAAAACTTTTAATACAGCTTTTCAAAATTTAGTACTTTAGCAATTCAGTAATTTAGAGATTTAAAAATTTAGTAATCTAACAATTTAATAATTTGGAGATACGAAAATTTTGAAGTTTTGTAATGTAGTAATTAAATAATTGACCAGTTTACAGATTTAAGGATTTGAAAATTTATTGATTTAGAGATTTGACATCTTAACTTACAAATTTCAAAATTAACTTCGTATTAAACAATTCAAAAAATGTGACAATTAAACATTTTTTAAATTTATGCAATGAAAAATTAAAAATTTCGGAACTAGAAAGTTTTAATAACATTGGTGTTAACGAAATTAACAATTCTAACTAAAATTTCTTCCTTGTTTTGCAGAAATACATACTACAATTTCTCAAAACTATTATTTTCTAAATTTCTTATTATTATACTAAATTATGATTAAATCACTATTCCAAATACCATACACTCTATTTGTCATTATAAATTGACCAAAAATTTTATTTAGATTCCGAAAACAAAATTCATCTCCAAATTTCAAAAACAACTGCAAGTACAAAAAGCTTAAAACTTAATATCTTTTTTAAAACTGTGCAATGTTTGTATATAACAATTCTTCATAAAATCTATGATTTAAAAAAATAAAGCTAAAAAAATTATATGATTTAAAAGTTGCACATAAACTCATTAAGTGCTCAATTTTTAAAAATTACACAATATTCTAAATTATAAGAAACAAAATATTTTAAATGATATCTCAGAAATTCGTGTATACTTCCTACAAAACTTATGTCATACAAACCAAATGAAATAACCTAAGTGTCCGTGTGAAGGAAATGAAGAGTTGTTCAGCTTTAAATAAGAACCTCGATAACTCTCAAATAGGAAACGCAGCGACCACAATGTGAACCGAGATAAAGACGAAACTTAATTGACGAAGTCAATTCGTGCCGCAAGTTTCAAGGATCAAGTATCAGAAAAATGCTTACCTCAGTAAGCGATAACCTTTGTCAAAGATCGAACGTCGCACTAGCACGTGCAGCAAAAACATTCGAAGGAAAATCAGCAGAGACCATGGTTTTCCTCGATCGCAAAATCACAATAGCTTTCTCTTCACGCGCGTTTTGTCCGACTTTCTTAGCGAACCGATAACCTGTCAAACGCATCCCGTAAACTCCAATGATTCGATGACAACCGGTTTTCAATTCCTGTGATCGTTCATCCATCAACTGGAGACGTCGGCGTCGCGAATTTTCCCAGGCTCGATAAACCAATCACTGTCACAATTATCACTAGGCGAACCTTGGACTCTAACGATGAGCGCTAGACACACCAAATCTCGATGTCGCCGGAGCACAGAATGACTCGCGCGGAGTCTTTCGATCACACACACCGAGGATCGTCATTTGCGATTCAACGGACGGAAAACCACACGGGGAATCACTTTTTCGAACCTCGAGATTTTGACGAGTTCTACTCACAATTTTACGCGAAGTAAAACCTTGTGGAACGATCCAGTTAAAGACCACCCGGCATTTGTGTCACTTGCTTTGTATCGCGAGGCAGGTATTCATAGTAGTGGGGCATCCCCGATGCTTCCTCTTTCAACGCTTCATCCGTATGATCCAGACCCCTGTCTCAGGATTGCAGGAGGAAGAAAAAGACACGGTTTGACGTGTTTCGCGCGATGGCTCTCCCCAACACCACATCTTGCAGACCCGGTTCCAATGAGTCACCTTCTGGACGAATGTCACATCGGTGCAATTGCGACAGTGCACGCGTCTGCATGATTGATAAGTCTAGAAAAATTGTGATTGCCACGATCGGAGTCGCGGGTGGCTACCGTATAGTATGAATTGCTAAAACGCGCTGAAGATATACTACTGTTTTCTTAGATTTGCTGAATCTACTGTTTTTGTATAATTTATTCGAGATTCTTGTTATCTGAAGATTCTTCTTTGTTGAGGAATTGAGAAATGAAACGATGGAATTTTGTTTAAAAATTAAATCTTTAGTTCAAATGTTTTCTTCGATTATTTTTATAATTATAGCTTTGTTACATTTTAAGATTTTGCGCATATTTGCGTACATCAGCATGTGTGTCATGTATTTTTAAAATACTGTGTGTTCAAATGTATTATTGTATGCTTTATGTTAATAAAAATTTTACTTGTTCCTTTGAATGTGTGGATTGATACTGTAACGTTAGTTCTCTTAAGAAGTATTGATAATTTTATTCTTGTTTTTGGTACATTGATTATTTTACACAATAACGTATATGTATGTGTATTTTTATTTTAATATTAGAATTCGTACAAACTTTATGTAATAGATTTCAAAATTCTTATCTGAAGTAACGAAGCAGGCATTGTGTTTGCACAGTGTTGTTAAAAATAGCTTTTAATGTTAACAAAGAAGACATAATTTGCGTTGGAATATTTAGATGATCATATTTTAAGTACTTCAGGAACTACTCAATGATTACATTTTGTGAATATAACATTGTTAAGGACATTTCTACATTTCTAAAAGTACAATATTTTCAAGTTCTCCAATTCCAAAATTTGTAAATACCTAAATTTATAAATTTACAAAGACTTATCTTCTAATATCCACAAATTTACAAATTCTTAAATATTCAAATATTTGACTTGCAAATTTCCAAACCTAAGTTATGAAATTTTCAAATTTTTTAATTTATGAATTAAAAATCTCAAAATCTTAAACTTTCTAAATTTCATATACAAATTTCCAAATTAACTAATTACTAAATTACCAAATTATTAAATTACCAAATTACTAAATTACTAAATTACTAAATTACCAAATTACCAAATCTCCAAATTACCAAATTACTAAATTACCAAATCTCCAAATTACCAAATCTCCAAATTACCAAATCTCCAAATTACCAAATCTCCAAATTACCAAATCTCCAAATTACCAAATCTCCAAATTACCAAATCTCCAAATTACCAAATCTCCAAATTACCAAATCTCCAAATTACCAAATCTCCAAATTACCAAATCTCCAAATTACCAAATCTCCAAATTACCAAATCTCCAAATTACCAAATCTCCAAATTACCAAATCTCCAAATTACCAAATCTCCAAATTACCAAATCTCCAAATGACTAAATCACAAATTTAAAAATTCTCAAGTTCCCAAATTACCACATTCCCAATTTCCTAAAATCCCAAATGCACAAATACCCAAATCAAAAATTTCCAAATCCTCACATCCTCAAATCCCTAAACCTTAAATATCCCAAATTTTCAAATCCCCAAGTTCTCAAATTTCTAAATCGAAAATCGAGAGCAAAAACTTGCTCTGTGTAATCCTAAAACCATATATGAAATTCCAATCGCTATTGTAATATTAAAACAGCGTCAGCAATATAAACCTTGCAATTCACAATTAAATGAGTAAACACGATCATACATTTAAAAAATAATTTATAAATTTTCAAACTAATAGTTGAAGTCAACGACTATTTAATTACAAATTAAGATAAAAAAAAAATTGAATATAGTAACCTAAAAACCATGAACATTTCGTCGTAAATAGAAAAACGCAATAATTGGAAGAAATAATTGGAACAACAAAACGATTGATAATTAGTTCAAATAAATAAATTTTTATTCCACTAAAATTTGATTAAAACGTCGCTCAGCACTATAATAACATGAATAAATAATTTTCCTCCAGTATTGCAGCAAAACATTATAAATACGTGATTAACCTTCGTATTAGGTCATCAAACTCTTCACGTAATCGTTCGTCATTAATATCGATACGAAGGTAATATTTCTCAATAAAGTGTAATCAATTACATCATATGAATTCCTGTTTCTTTTTTTTGTAACTGAATGAGTATGTTGGGAATTCCTGAACCAACATAATAACCGACTATCCTACGAATCCCATATGAAAGGAGGAAACGTTGACATCAGTAGGCATTTAGTATTTTTTTACCATTGTGGTTTATTCCGCAGTCTATATTTAGTACAGTACACGTAACTGTATTTTAGTATTACACTGCAAAATTCTAATCAATCTTGTTGTGCAAATCTGAGTTCAATTTTATGTATGTTGTGTTATTATGCAAAAGCTACTGAATTCTTCATGAAAGGCACAGTGGTCCGATACTGTAAATGGTTTTAGGATCGGTTTTGTGGTGATCGAAATTAAAGAAATACCACAAATATCACCTTAACCACAATTTCACGTGCATGGACAGCCAAAAAAATTTACACCAGAACAAAGAAACTATACAGGTTCAGAGGTCAGATCAGATACATACATTTTCACATGAACAATTTTATGTTGCACTTCCTATAATTGGTGCACCAGATGAATTGCTCATTCTCTGTTATGACAAACGCACAAAGAATACAATTTCACAAAGAGTTCTACGATAGTCATATGTTATTCAACGAGCCAAATTTTAAGAATTAATTGGCTGTGAAATTTCACTACTATTTTCTAATTTAAACGACAGTTTTTAAATATTCCAATTATTACCAAAAGTAAATCTGATTATTGACATTATCCTTTTTCCAAAAATAAACACGCAAATTTCATGAACATTCTTTTATTGAGTCTTGCAAGCGACATTTATTTTTAACCCTGCTAAGCAGATAGACCGACTAATAAAATCCCACTGACTCACTCGCTAACTCGTCAAAAGGTTTGGGCACCTCCCGACGTACCGGAAGGATATGGGTTTTTTCGTTCCATACCTTTCGTCAACGATTGGCAACACAAAAACTGTCAAACGTTCAAATTTCCTACTCCAACAAAAGTTATAGGGATAAAAGCACCCATACGCATGAAGTATGCAAAACCGTAAGAATGCCGAAAGTCTTCTCCCAAACCAGAGTTTGGAAGCGAAGCAAAGTGAGTTATACATACGTTGATACAAAAGAAAAGGAATAAATACATTGTGTATCTAAAAGTTAAAAATAAAATCAATTTTTTTCCACTTAAAACATTTCAAAGAAATCAGAGCTTGAAAGCCAGAAGGGGGACCAAAGTCCAAATTGTCAAGCTAACTAGTGAAGGGTTGGATAATAAATGCGCAGGATATTGAAGAATTGTTACAAGTTACAACAGGTGGAAATCTTTCTAACGACGATCTAAAAGGTCAACTTTGGTGACCGAATACTTTAAGTATTATTTTTGGAGATCTTTGGGGCCTCTGGTGGAAAATTAGCTTCGGTTATCCTTGTTCATCTCATTGTATATTGGCCAGGCGAAACAAGGATAGTAGATATTTGGTTTTCAAACATGTGGAAAAAGACGATGTCGTTTCACCAGGACAAAGCCAAGAAACAATATTTTGTCATGATTTATTTTCCAAAATATTCTTTGTATAATTCTTCGGTGCGGTAAAGAGCGCTTTCTTGAAAAAATGGTACGTGAACAAATTTCTTGTATGAAAACTTGCATGTTTCCTTTTCGTGAAGTTTTAAGGGTAAGATTGCAAAATCAGGTCTACCGTACTGAAGAATTATACAAAGAATATTTTGGAAGAGAAATCGTGATAAGATAATGTTTTTCAGCCGCAAAGTCCTGGCAAAACAAAGTCGCATTTTTTCTCATTTTTGGAAAGCAAATTCGTACTATTCTTGTCTCTCCTGACCAAAACAACGTAACATAAACAAAAATCGCCGAGGCTTATTAATTTTCCGCCAGGGTCGCTAAAAATCATGCTGTCAGTATTTAGTCACCTGTGTTGACCTTTGAAAAAATTAGTAGAACAAGTGCACGAAGATGAGAAAATTAGTATTTCCGAAGACGAGGAGGAAAAGGAACTTTCAGCCGATTTTCTAAAAAATAGTTTAGCTACTTGAACGAGAATTACGGATCAGTTTACATAAAATGATTGAAATTTTCATCATAAGTTCAAAGGCAAGGCGAACTGTCACTGATGTCTTGCTATCAACAACAGTTTGCTGAACGAAACAGGAAAAGATAAACGATATTATATGACTCCTTCACAAAAAAGATAAAAAATGTGAAAGAGGAAAATCTTCCTTATCACAAACATAACTACTTTACTCGAACTTTCTTCTGACTTTCATGAATGTTTTATGATCAGTAATTAATGTACTGTAAAATTGATATTACTCTGTAATTAATGTAATTATATTTTAGTTATAAGTGTTGCAAAATAATGCAGAAGAGATCTGATAAATTTTCTTATTCTCTGTTCTGCTTCACATATCTTGCATTATAATTTCACGTTTAAGACGTTAACGTTTTGCACTAGCGATGCAATCTTATGGCGTTAGCTTAATACAATTGTGAAAACACAATAACGTTTGAAAGTATTTTAGTAATTAAACAAGGACATAAATAAAGCTGTAAAAGCTAAAGATAATCTCTTCAAGAAAACAGTTTCTTGTTTATTAGAATATTGTTTGTGGAACATACAAGTTTATATATAGAATAACTTGTTCCTAATAAAAACTTGTTCCTGGTCGAAACTTGTTTCTTATAACTGTACTAACTATATCAACTCCCAAATTCATAAACTTGTAAAATTTGAAATTTAAGACTTGATAAAATCGTTAAATTTAAAATTTCTGAATTAGCTACTTATTAAATTTACAAATTTACTGTTTTA